GAACATGTGGATTCACTTAAGATTTTTACTTCATTTGATTCTACATTTTCTTTCACATATAGTGCCACTCCCCCCCGCACGACCTGTTCTGTCCTTCCGATACATTTTGTATCCCGGAATGATTGTGTCCCATTGATTGCTCTCAGTCCACCAGGTTTCTGTGATGCCTATTATATCAATATCCTCCTTTATCACAAGGCACTCTAGTTCACCCATCTTATTATTTAGACTTTTAGCATTTGTGTACAAACACTTTAAAAACTTGTCACTGTTTATTTGTCTGCCCTTTTCTGATATGTCAGATTCTTTTTTATGTGAACGTTTATTATCTGAGCTGGCCCTTACATTATCCTCTTCCATCCTCTGCTCCTGACTATAACCTGGAGATTCTCTATCATTAGACTCTCCCCTAAGAGAAGTCTCTGTCCAATCCACATGCTCCTCTGCAGCAGTCGGCTTTCCCCCATCTCCTAGTTTAAAAACTGCTCTACAACTATTTAAATGTTTAGTGCCAGCAGTCTGGTTCCACTTTGGTTTAGGTGGAGCCCATCTCTCCTGTATAGGCTCCCCCCATCCCAAAAGTTTCCCCAGTGCCTAATGAATGTAAACCCCTCCTCTCTACACCATCGTCTCATCCACGCATTGAGACTCTGAATCTCTGCCTGCCTACCTGGCCCTGCGCGTGGAACTGGGAGCATTTCTGAGAATGCCACCATAGAGGTCCTGGATTTCAGTCTCTTCCCTAGCAGCCTAAATTTGGCCTCCAGGACATCTCTCCTACCCTTCCCTATGTCATTGGTACCTACATGTACCAAGACCACCGGCTCCTCCCCAGCACTACACATAAGTCTGTCTAGATGCCTCGAGAGATCCGCAACCTTCGCACCAGGCAGGCAAGTCACCATACAGTTCTCCCGGTCATCACAAACTCAGCTATCTACGTTTCTAATGATTGAATCTCCCATTACTAACACCTGCCTTTTCCTAGCAACTGGAGTTCCCTCCCCCGGAGAGGTAACCTCAGTGCGAGAGGCAACCCCAGCACCATCTGGAAGGAGGGTCCCAACTATGGGAAGGTTTCCCTCTGCTCCCGTTGACTGCTCTGCTTCCCTGGGCCTTTCATCCTCCTCAACAGCACAGGGGTGTCTGACCGGAGGTGGGACAATTCTACAGTGTCCCAGAAAGCCTCATCAACATACCTCTCTGCCTCTCTTAGCTCCTCCAGTTCTGCTACCCTGGCCTCCAAAGTCCGTACATGGTCTCTGAGGGCCAGGAGCTCCTTGCACCGAATGCACAAATACGCCACCCGCCCACAGGGCAGGTAGTCATAAATGCTGCACTCAGTGCAATACACTGGATAGCCCCTACTCTGCAGCTGGGCTTCTGCCTGCATTGTCTCCTAATTAATGAAAGGGTTATTTAAGCAAGAAGTTTTGAATGTAGTTTGGTTTATAGGTTTTAAGGGGAATAAAGGGACCCCCACTCCCTTCCCACTCCCCTTGCGAAACTCCCTGTTGGCAGCCCCTGTTCGCAATAGCTCCCTGGTCGCTTGTGCGCTGCTTTATAAAGCCCTGGCCTGTGTGAATGCCCCGCCCACTGATTAAGGCTCAGCCAATTACCAGAGGCTTCTAGCTTTCAGACCTTCCTTTGAAGCTCACAGCTTCCAACTGCCAGTCACAGCACACGGTCCTTCAAACTACCAAACAAACAAACAGACTGCCAAACACAAGCTCAGCACACAGCAAGTAACCCCGAAACACAAACAAACACACACTACAGACAGTCACTTACCTCAAGGGTGCTGTATTTGCTCCTCCTTCACCTGGAGAACTCCCTTGTGAAACTCCCTGTTAGCAGCCCCTGTTCGCAAAAAAATATGCTAGCTGTATGGAACATGGCTCCTGCTTTTGTCAACTTCTTTCTGGCCTCCCTCCATGGAGTCAGCTCCAAGATTTTCCCCACCTGCCGAACCCTCTGCCAGTGGTCTTGATGTTCTCTTCAGATGAGGAACACCCTTCCTCTTCTAGTTATTAGAGTACAGCATGTCAACTAGCTGTGTGTTTCCCTGGTCCTCTGTGTTCACATGCCTTTCTTTATACAGATCAATCAGCTGATTTTTCTTCAGCTGTTCATAACTCATTTTCCCCTGTCTCTTTTTTCACTATTCCTTTCCTGAAAAGATTATGAGATTTTGCTCTATGCTTTTTCTTCTAGGGTAATTGCTTTCACTGCTGTTGGAACTTATGCATTATATATGCTACTTTTTCCACAATATATGTCACAGTTCAAGGTAATGCACCTATATTACACCACTGCAGTAAGTGAGGGCATCCACTCCAGGCTGCTGGTTTCTCAGACATCACCTCTCTTGGATGGAGACAAACGTCTCTCTCCCTGCTGACTCGGGAATTTCCAAGTGGCATAGCCCCCCGCCTACATTATGATAGCCCCCAGCAAGCCAGATGGCCAAAATAGCCAGCTTCTGTACCTAGCTTTCTCTCCAGAGGATATGAACAGCATAATTGCCCACAGTTTACCACACAGACCTTTCTAAGCAAGCACATTTATTCTGAAGGTGAAAGCATTGCAGAGAAAACATTAAAACCATAAAAGCTAATAAGCTTACAGAGATCACCTTCCAACTCCAAGGGCTCTGGTAGATGATCAGTCCCTCAGACCCTATAAAGGTGGTTTTCTGTTCACAACTGCTTCAACTAAGAATAAGCATACTCATGACAAATTTAGTATTTCCTTTATACAAAGTTAGCGCTTTGATTGTGAGATTTCTGGGAACAGGTAATCAGCAGATAATGAGTCTCTCCACAGTGCATAGCTTCAAAAGGCTTTGTTTTATCATAAATAGAGGAGGGTAACTTTGCATTCACCTCCAGCTTGAGAGTCCCATTTAACTATGTTTGTCCCAAAAGTTCATTCTTGTCTGCCCCACTGTTCAGTATAGTTCTTTGAAACTCATAACACTTCACAAGCTTTACATTGGCTACATCTGTCTCCTAGAGAAATTACATACAATTTCACAATAATACTTGGGTTTTAAATACAAAGGATTCCAAATACACTTAAACTTTATTCAACAAGGATTTTCAAGGGTATTGCAGGAAATTGACACATCTGTCATGATATGCACATAAAAACATCAAGTAAGTTTCATTTTAATAAACACTGTTACTCCTCCTTCCCTAGTGAGTATTTTATAAATGGGAAATATATTAAGTAGCTTTCAATATCCTTTTTTGGGGGGGGGGGACGAAGGAAATCTATGTTAGATGTGAGATCTCAGCAATCTCATTTTGTTGTTAAATTCTGATTCTGTCTTTTCTTAAAAGACATGACAGACATACCCAAAAAGGGAAGAGACATGAACAGCGGAAGAGAGAAAATAATGGCTTCTGGTTTTGGGTTGAGGTTCAAGTATTGAAGATCACAATCACAACATGTGTGTCGCATGACCCTAGTCAGCACTGCTTGGTCTGGTTCCTCTGAAAATGCACCAGGAGGGGTTGCTCTGATTTCCATCTCACCAGACTGAAAAGTTGAAAATGATATTGAAGCAACCTGCTTCCAGGGGCATTTTTGCCTCCTACAAACTGGTCATAGCAAAGACTAAGGGCTTGTCTACACTGGCACTTTACAGCGCTGCAATTTTCTTGCTCAGGGGTGTGAAAAAAATGGCGCTGGGAGCCATTCCCCCTCGGGGAGGTGGGGTTTTATAGCTGGGAGAGAGCACTGGTGCTCCGACTACACAGCCACATGAAAGCTCTGCCACGCCCAGCACTTTAACATTGCTAGTGAAGACGTGCCCTAAGATTAGAGTTCTTCAGGCTGGCTAAGCAAGACACTTGAGGCAGTAGGCAAAAGAGAATGAAAAGATGTAGGAGGAATAAGGTGTGAATGGAAATGTCAACTGAGGAAGTAAAATAGTAAGCACCTTAAATTCACATCTCTGCAATGGCCATGGAAATGGATGATTGTGTCATCTGATTACAGCTCCTCAACTAGTCAAGTTAGAAGATCTTTTAGGAACAAGAAGATACACATTGGGGTGATGGCAAATACTCAAGTCTGGAGAAACCTGGCTTTCACCTTTCACCTATTTTGAACAGTTGGATAGTGTTCAACACAGCACATACAACAGCTCTCTAAGTGCTTGTCTACACTTAGATTTTATAGCGCTCTAACTTGCTGGCTCAGGGGGGTGAAAAAATCACCCCCCTGAGCGCAGCAAGTCTGAGGTGGATTACCAGGAGCGCTGGGAGCACTCGTGCTTCAAAGCATTCCCGTGGCAGTGCTTTGAAGTTTCCAGTGTAGACATACCCTAAGAAATGCACTGGCTTCCTATTCATCTCCCACTGGTTTTTAGGGTATGGTACAAAGCCTGTTTTCTTTCTCAGGGAATTGGTTCAATGGGTGAAGGGCCTGATCCAAAGTCCCAGAAGGGTTTTGGATCAAACTCATAGTATGTGAGTTACTCTTGGGTGGAATAGTGATTTTTTCCCCAACTCTTGTCCAAAAGTCACATCTTATGTAAATATTAAACAAAAGTCCAAAAACTTTGTATGAAATAATTTTATAAATTCATAACTAAAATCAATCTTTCCTACACTGGCCAGGTTAAGGAGGCAGGTGGATGAGGGGGAATCTAATTTCTGTTTTATGAAAATACAAAAAGTCACTATATATAGTTATATTACCTAGCATTGCCTGTCTCTTTCCCCAGCTAATCAGAGTTTTTCTGTTCAGACAAGTCAGAATCCATCATATTTCAAAATGGTGTCTCTTAAGTTTTTCCTACAGCACTTGAATGGTGCTGCAAGCACAGAAAACAGGGCTAGCTCCCAGGTTTCATGATGAGGAAAACACCCCATTCTGTGGCACTTATCTTCTTTCAATGACTTCCACCTGTGTTATTGAACCTACAAACTTATGAACTACATGAACTGGGGTTTTGTCTTTTATTAAAAGTTGTCCTCATTTCCTCATAGGATTACATAGGTCAATATTTTATTAAAGAAATGTACTGGATTGGATTATCACGTAAAACTGAAAGAGATGGCTGGTTTTGGGAGGACACCACAGCTCTTTCTACATCAGAAAAGGGGTAAGTTTTAATAAATTGGGTCAAGATTTTCATCAATGAGTATCTGAAGTTGGACTATGTCCATATTTAGGCATGGGAAGGTACCACCAGTTAGACCCACTAATTAACTAAACTATCCCACAATGTCCCCTCACCAATGACAAGAAACTTGCAATCCTGTCCAGCCTTGCTCCCAGCTGCCAAACCCTCCCACATTCCTCTTCGCAAGCTGCCATTGGGAGAAAAAAATATAGGCACTTTGCTGAGCAGCTGCAAAATCTCTCCCAGTCTGTCACTTTCCCTGGCACCAGTCAGTAGGCAGGGCCGGCTCTAGGCACCAGCACAGCAAGCACGTGCCTGTGGCGGCAAGCCATGGGGGGCGGCCTGCCGGTGGCTGTGAGGGCGGCAGGCAGGCGGCTTTCGGCGGTGCGCCTGCGGGAGGTCCACCGGTCCTGCGGCTTCGGCGGCAATTCGGTGGCGGGGACGCCAATGGCGCAGCACCGGCGGACCTCCCACAGGCATGCCGCCGAATCTGCGTGAACAGTGGACCGCCGGCAGGTGCGCCGCCGAAAGCCGCCTGCCTGCCGTGCTTGGGGCGGCAAAAAACATAGAGCCGCCCCCGTCAGTAAAGAGGGGAGTTCTGTGAAGGATGCTCTTGGTGCCTGTCGGATGAGTGCTGTGTGCTGCTATTCAGGCAACCTGAGGTGGATTCCTTGGGCCCAGTCTCGCACTGCTTTTAGGCTGTGCCTAGGAACACTGTGGAGGTTTGGATCCAGTGTCATAGGAATTAGTGCTCTCCAGTGCCCTGTGGATGACCCATCTGAGATCCCATCCTTGGGTTCTCTCACCACTTAGGGAACCAGTGGGGATATGAGCATGGCAAAGTCAGGTCTATCATCACAGGGGATCAGGACACAGCACTGGGTAAAGCTTTTCAGTGGTTTGAAGAAATGTGTGTTCAAGAGGGTATGTCTACACTTGAGCTGGAGGTATAATTTTCAACTGGGGAAGACATACCTGTGCTAACTCTGACTGAGCTAGCACAGTTCTGTCTATATAAGCTAGCACTGATTCAGCTAGCTTGATTGATACAGAACAGGCTTGTTACCCCAAGTACAATCCTACCTGAAACCTAGGTATGTACTCAGGAATCTAGCCCTTCCTGCCACCTGCGCTGCTGCTCCCACACTGCTATTTTTAGGCACTAGTTAGATCAGAGCTAGTGCACGTTTGTCTGCTCATAGTTGGAAATTACATCTCCAGCTCTCGTGAAGATATCCCTGTCTGATAATAGCCTCATTGTAAACAAAGATCCTAGAAAAGAAACACTTTTGTTATATTATGCCATATTTTTGTTACATATATAGCTAAGTCCTGTGCATTTCTGTGGAAGAAGTATATTTATGCCTCGAAAGGCTGTAATGAGAACAGTCTCTGGATCTGTGAGAAGGCACCCATCCAGCTGAGGCTAACAGACAATCAGTAGTAGTTTATCAGATTACACTGCTCTACAGGCAAAATGCTTCTGAAATAAATGTAGTCAAACTTTACTAATTCTGGGTCTCTGAGAACGAAAATGATGCTTAAAATTGTTGATTGGCTCTAGGTTTTCAAGATATGCTATTGGGTCAGTATATACGACCCTTGACTTGGGAATGGCGGAGGATAAGTGAGTTATAAAGGGAAGGGATCTCAATTTAAACCAGAAATGACTAAACTACATCTTTGACTGGATCTATGCATAAATCTATGACTGGGTTTGGACAGTACTTGCTTTTTAGGCAAAACAATGAATGATGCAATCTGAAGCTGGTATTGCGTCATACATGATATGAATTGCATCATGTTATTCCTAGACGTCATGGATGATGCAATCATAACGAAGGTTACATCACTCTGCTGAACAAATTGCCCTATATCAGCTCTAGAAATCATACAGTGTCATGCTCTCTTATTTGTCAGTGTTTGATTTTGCAAAGGGACACATTTCTATTTAGCCAAAGTGAGCAGAGATGCCTCGTACTTCTGTGAACAGTGCAGATAACTTCTGCTATGTTTGTGGTGAAGTGACTTTTGCATCACAAAAGCACAGTATAACCACTATGGTTAAGAAAGCCTATCACCTTTATTTTGGCTGTAAAATTGGAGATCAGGACAAGAGGTGGGCCCCACACATATGCTGCAACACTTGTGCAACAAATCTTCGCCAGTGGTTGAACAGGAAAAGGAAATCTATGCCTTTTGCAGTGCCAATGATTTGGAGAGAGCCAACAGATCATACCAGCAATTGTTACTTCTGCATGGTGCCTCCCATTGGGAAAGGTGTGTCAAAGAAGAAAAAGTGGACTGTGCATTATCCAAACATTCCATCAGCTATACGCCCTGTACCCCACGGAGAAGGACTGCCGGTTCCTGATGCACCAGAATCATTCTCACTTGAGTCAGACGAGGAAGAGGATGAAACTTCTGGTCCTGACCCATCAATGTCACAGGACCCACATTTTCTCCCATCCTCCTCCTCTGAACCACACCTCATAACACAAGGTGAACTGAATGACCTTGTCAGGGATTTGGAACTACCCAAGAGTAAGGCAGAGCTCTTGGGCTCCAGACTACAGCAGTGGAATTTCCTGGCAGGTGATGTTAGGGTTTCCATGTTCCGTGACCGTCAAAAGTATCTTGTCCCATTCTTCTTCATGGAAGGTGATCTTGTAGCCTGCAACAACATCGATGGTGTGATGGCAGCCCTCAACATTGTTCACGATCCAGATGAGTGGAGACTGTTCATTGATTCATTGAAGACGAGTCTTAAAGCTGTTTTACTGCATAATGGCAATGTTTTGCCATCAATTCCAGTTGGTCATGCAGTCCATATGAAGGAAACCTATGACAACATGAAACAACTTTTGAGGTGCATAAACTATGACCAACATCAGTGGCAGCTTTGTGGCGATTTGAAGGTTGTTGCTCTCTTGCTTGGTCTGCAGACTTGATACACAAAGTACTGCTGTTTTCTCTGCGAATGGGATAGTCGTGCAAGAGATTCCCACTACATCAAGAAAGATTGGCCATTCCGACGGTCATTGGAGCCTGGGAGGAAAAGTGTTCAGCATCCACCACTTGTTGAATCAAGGAAGATTTTGTTACCACCCTTACACATCAAGCTGGGTCTCATGAAGAACTTTGTCAAGGCCATTGACAAAACACAAGCAGCTTTCAAGTACCTCCATGGAAAATTTCCAAGGTTAAGTGAAGCTAAGATAAAGGAAGGTGTCTTTGTTGGTCCTCAGATTCGTGAACTTCTTCGAGATGATGCATTTGACCGTGCACTGCGTGGCAAGGAAAAGACGGCATGGAAAGCCTTCCAGTTAGTGGCAATAAATTTTCTCTGAAATAACAAGGCAGACAACTACAGGTTGTTGGTGGAAAACCTCCTCAAGGCATACAAAAGCCTTGGTTGCAACATGTCACTAAAGATACATTTTTTGCACTCTCATCTAGATTTTTTCTCAACGAACTGTGGAGCAGTGAGCGACGAGCACGGCGAGCCATTTCACCAGGACATTGCAACAATGGAGAAATGCTATCAGGGCAAATGGAGCCCATCAATGCTTGCAGACTATTGCTGGACAGTGACAAGAGATGCTCCATTTAATGAATACAAGAGACAAGCCAAGAAGCGCCGAGTAGACACTGAATAGGACTAAACTATGTACATAATAGTTTTTTGCCTTTTGTGTCATAATAAATTTTATTTATATAACCCTTTTGCTGATTTTTAAAGTGTTACATAAATAGGACAGGTGAAATATTATCATGTAAAGCAACCATAAACACATGAAAAGACCTAGGTTTACAATTTATGATTAAAACTCTACTATCTACACACTATACATAGACATAAAATGTAAAAACTTAAATATCTTAGAAACAGTAGCCAATCAGTTGTTTTAATTGTCATATTTGAATTCAGCACATCAAAATACACAATAAATAGCACATTTTATCTCTGAAGCAGACGACTTCTCAAAAATTGTAGACCGGTGTTATCATGGTTTATCAGTATGAAATGTTTATTTATTAGCAGTGGGAAGAAGCTCTGTATTGTGTTGTGAGATTTTTGGTTCTGCAAAGTTTCCAAATGGGGTTTAAATAAGGGTTTAGCGAGATAATCAGCATCTTCATTTTCACTGTTTTAAGATGCTTTTACAAAAGTCATATGCCTAAATCTACACACATAGTGGAGGCCATATGACCCCCTAGAGAATGCATAAAGTCTGCCAATCCAGTTCTGAAATGTACAAAAACGTGCTAGATTGAAATAGGCAACTCCAGAGAAAAAATAAAGCTACTGAATTTAGATATTGCAAAGACTTATAGGGTTTCAGCTTGTCCATCTCCTGGAAGCCCAGTGTATGATAGCTCACTATTGCCCATTTCTCAGATTGGGCATCATTTGCTATGGGGAAAAGGCTTTCAGTTGTCTTCCCCCAACCTGGGGTTGCTTGACCCCCTGTCTTTCAGTCGCGCCCACCCCAAGATTTTGGATGTAATAATTAGGAAAGCAATAATTGTCTGGGTTTTTTCCTAATTCATAGTGCTATTTGAGACAGACTGCTCTATATGCCGATACAAGTTTTGCTCCCTCCAGAGTTTTCCTGAAATGATGCCTCTGTTCTCAGAGTTTTGGCTACTACAGGTTTCAACCACTTCCATTAAGAATACTCTTCTGCATTCTCATTGATCTTACTTCTACAAAACATTGCTGGATCGCCAGCCTAAACATTTATCTTTTCTATAGTTTTATCACACACCAGTTACACTCGCCAGCAACCCTAACCAAATCCCTCTGCCTCTCTGATGTTTTCATGCACCACATACTTATATAAGGTGGCTGTAATGGGGGGAGACTCACCACAGTGAGGGGAATTAGCTCTTTCACAGCCTTGGAGTGCCCTCTTCAGGCCCCTGTCTCACCTTGCCAGACCCCCATGTGCCTCCCAGACCCCAGCGCCCCTTTCCCCTGGGGTTCTGCCCCTTGCAGTACCCCCACAGTCTCAGTAGGTCTCCCCTCCCCAGAAAACCCCCATCCCCACCTTGCCTCAGTCTTGGCTACTGCCAGTCTCCATCTAGCCCCCATTCACTTTGGCAGACTGCAGTATGTAAGCCACTCATCTGGCAAGGAGGGTTTGGACCTGCTGCCTCTGCCTACCCTTGGGCTGCCCCTTTGCAACTCCAGTACTTATTTGGCCTTCCCCTAGGCCTGCAGCCTGGGGGGTTTCCAGGCTGGTGCTCCCCAGCCCTGCTCCACCTCAGGTACTTAGCTCAGCTTCCCCAGCAGCCAGGCCCATCTTCCTCCACAGCTAGATGAGACTCTGTCCGAGTGCCTGGCTCACAGCCCCTTTTATAAGGGCCAGCTGTGGTCTGTTTGGGGCGTGGGCCCAACTGTGCCTGCTTCCCCAATCACCCTAGCTCCTTTTCTTTCCGGCCACAGCCCTCTCCCAGGACTGTTTTAAGCTCCTCCAGGCAGGAGCGGGGTGACCACCCTGCTACAGTGGCAGTATCACTAAAAAGTTATTACTTAGCCAGTTATGCATAGGTAGCTCTTTTAATCTTTCCTCATAAGTGAATCATTCCATCCCATTAACCATTTCATGGGGGAATGGGGATGCAGAAATTGATCTACTTTATTTTTTTCAGAGTTGTTCTCTATTGTATACCTAATAATATTGTAGGACATATTGAAATCACTCTTAATACCATGTACAAAAAACCTCCAGAACTCACTGCCATAGGTCATGAGAACTGGATTGCTTGGTAAACAGGGCACAAGATAACAATATGTTTTAATACTGCTAACTGTAAAGTTATCTGTCTAGGAACAAAGACTGTAGGTCAGGGGTCGGCAACCTTTTAGAAGTGGGGTGCCGAGTCTTCATTTATTCACTCACTCTAATTTAAGGTTTCGTGTGCCAGTAATACATTTTAACGTTTTTAGAAGGTCTCTTTCTATAAGTCTATAATATATGATTAAACTATTGTTGTATGTAAAGTAAATAAGGTCTTTAAAATGTTTAAGAGCCTTCATTTAAAATTAAATTAAAATGCAGAGCCCCCCGGACCAGTGGCCAGGACCCTTGCAGTGCGAGTGCCACTGAAAATCAGTTCGCGTGCCACCTTCGGCACGCGTGCCACAGGTTGCCTACCCCTGCTGTAGGCGATACTTACAGGATGGAGGACTCTGTCCTCAGAAGCAGTGACTCTGAAAAAGACTTGGGGGACATAGTGGATAATCAGCTGACCTGGCTAGTGTGTCCAGTTCTGATGTTCACAATTCACAGAGGATGTTGATAAATTGGAGATGGTTTAAAGGAGAACCACAACAATGATTAAATAATTAGAAAACCTGCCTTATAAGGATAGTCTCATGGAGCTCAATCTATTTAGCTTAATACACAGAAGGTTAAGGGGTGACTTGATCAGTCT